GAGAATCTGGGAAAACAATGTACATAAACTAACATGACTTCAGAAAATTAAAATTTTATTTAATTAAAAAATAATTAGGTGAATGACACTTACACATTTAATGTCTTTTATACAGCGTTGGAATTTTTGTAATGATGAAAATGTAACTCTGTTATACGTATTTTAATAACCCTAAGAATACATATTTTCAAATCTATTGTTAATATAAGTTTAGTGACATTTTCAACAAAGATTTTATTTTGTCCATATAAATAGCATAAATCTATTTTTTTAACGACTAAACCGTTGAACTAATCTTAATGAAGTTATTGTGAGAACGGATATAACCTAACTTTAATGTAAAAAGAAGCATGCTACTATAACAGCATGTTAGATTAAGTTTATTTAATGGACAAATAATTAATTTACGTTGGAATAATATCATTTGTTTGAGGAATGCTATTTATAGTAAGGGTAAGAGGCGTGTACTTTATAGAGTCGTTAGATAAGAGGAATGGCAATTTAAGAGGCGTTGCTATGGATATTGTTGGGCTGATCTTATGTTATGTCTATAGTGGATGATAATTATTTCAGAAATGGTAACTATCAATTTATTTGCCATTCCAATCATAGAAAAATATAGAGCTATAATTATGTAGTATTGTTAGATATGATATGAAATGAAATTTTAAGAACGAAAAGCACAATATTTTAATGTAGAACGAACGTATAACGATCATTTCACATTTTAGAGACTTATATAGGACACTTTCGGTCAGTTATACCAGTTTTATTAAATTTTATTATTATCACCATCGTCCAGTTCGGCTAGCTAAATATGTTGAGAAGAACCGACAAGAAACTCAACTGGAACCTTGAGATCTAATTAGATCGCACTAAACATTTATATTTATAATTATTAATACTATTTGGATATTTATTTGACGTTCCATATTACTATAACATCATTATATAGTATTTTGTATTCTGTTAAATAAACTTATCGTTTGCTTTCTTGCTAAAAATTTTGGTTAATGCGAGCGATTACCAAATGTTTAAATAGTTTTAAAATACCGACTATAATGAGGTATTTCTGCAACTCGAGTAGCGTAATAAATATCTTAATAAATAAACAACCTTGACAAGTGATATAATTAAGTAGAGTAATTCAGACTACATTTTTATAGTTTCTTTTTTTTAAATGCTATAATGTAGACACATATATGTTATAATATATATAATATACCTTAACATCACGTAAATTATTCTGCGATGTACTATTATTATTTAACAGTAGTATTTCATTCAAAGTAATCTGATGATTCATTTATAATATGTATGTATTCATACTAGATTCCAGATTATAGAGTAGGAAATCGAATACTGAAATACTTTATACACATATGCTGCAATATACTTGTGCATTTTGCGTTAGAACTCAACTATACTATATTTAAAGATAAAGGAGGCAATTGGCAAGATTGTGCACCGTCAACTGATAAATGCATACTTTAGCTACATAGATTTAAGAGCGACAAAACAAGGCTTCGAATATGTCAGTGTCTTGAAAGAAAAACATAGATATAAAGAGGTATATTATGTCTTGTTTTACTAGTAGTTCCTGAATACGTCAAAGAGTTAATTACAATAATAATGTTTATAAAGGCATCGTGCCGTATCACGTGTCTTAATATTTTCCCCGTCTGTTAGCAATAATATTTATAATATGTCTTCTCTGTTTAACTATTTGTAGCTTCTTCGTTATGTTTTTATCTTTACAATTAAATTTTATCATCATATTCCAACTCCAAATTCTGAAAGTTTCAAGTTTATTATATGATATGAAGGAGTGAAAATTATTCTGAACAGAAATAGGTCACCTACTTAGCGTTTAAAAACTTACTAGTGATCATAAATGTTTATAAATATTGCTGATCATTGTACAGACTCATCTTCAATGACACAAGGCTGCACATGTGAAAGGATTTGGCAATCTATGTCAGTTCATTCGCCCTAGGTGTGCCACCGAGTGGGTTTTTAAATACATCACATGTGTAGGCTATCAAGTGATATTAATACCTTCGCTTAAGTATATTGCGTATATTATAGCTCAAGACCCTAATTTTACATACAAATTACTCTTAATTTATATAGATACTAAATTGCTAGATATTATGTGGTATATGTAAGAATTAATCAATATTGATGCTCTCCATTTTAGTCTTTTCGATGGTCACAGAATACATACTTGTACAGTATATTATTATTATATTTATGAATATATTATTATTATTATAATCTCAAAAATAATGATTAGATTACACGTGAGTTACATTGGAGTTGCATTGGAGTTACATGTTTACATCAGTAGTGATTACTGAGGAAGGTTTCAGTGTAACTCGTTAAGGTGTTGTACCGAAGCAGGTCGCAAGTATAAGATATGCAAATGTTTAAGTACATCTATCGGTTGTGTAGTACTCATATTTATATACTAGTGGATAACGATATCTAAGGCAGAGACTTCACTCCATGGACATACATATAATTATACATAGAAAGCACAACAATTATCTATGGATGAAAATAAAAAATAGTTCAAAACGTCAACATATATTTAGAATAGATAGTTTCCAAAATTAATAACTCGTCTTGTATATCACAATATCGTCAGAAATGTACATTCTGTAATTGATACATTTGTTACAATTAGGTGCTATCAAAATAGTTCACAATGTACTGTCTTTAATTACTCGGCTTCACAAACGGGTCGATACATTTCGGCGTGCGCCGGCGCCGGCGGCGTGCGAAATGGAAAGTGTACCGCGGCCTACTTTATGTTTGGGATATTGCGTAATGCCATCGATGCACCGGTGCACCGCTTGTCGATCTTCACGCTTTTTCCACACGCAGGCGGAATGGCAGTGGTACCATTTGAATATTAACTATTTTATCCATACGGGTCTTGCTCGAGCCCTTCTGTATATCTATATATACATATATATGTATAATAATACTGCAGGGTGCAGGTGTTCTATTTAACTATTTTTTTAAGTTTTAGCCTATTATGTATGTATATCATCCATTTATAAAATCAGGATAAAATTTATGTATTTATAGGTAAAAATTTATTTATAGGTATATTAAGAAGACAGCCAGTGACAATAATCTATACATATAAATAAAATTGGAGTGTCTGTTTGTAATATTGAAATAACCGTTTTTTACTACATGCATGTGAATATATATATGGTGCATATACCAAAATAACATTTTTTATAATTTTTGTCTGTCTGTCTGCCAGTCTGTTTGTTTCGGCTAATCTCTGAAATGACTGGACCTATTTTGACGGGATTTTTTTTGCAGGTAGCTGATGGAATAAGGAGTAACTTAGGGTACTTTAATTTCAGAAAAAAAAAATTAGGAAAATATAGTTTAAGACCACGGGAACAGCTAGTATAATATAATATTCATATATTGAAAGTGTACCATTTTCCCTAAGGAGTGAAATGGAAATTGAAAATATTTTTCATAATTTTCATAGTTAATATAACAGTATATTATTATTACATAGTATAACACAAAGTCGCTGTCGCTGTCTGTCCGTCCCTATGTATGCTTAAATCTTTAAAACTACGCAATGGATTTTTTAATAGATAGAGTGATTCAAGAGGAACGTTTATATATATAATACATGTACACCCGAGCGAAGCTGGGGCGAGTAGCTAGTTAAATATACAATTTAAAATGACATTAATAAGAATACTATATTAATTATTAACAAAAATATTGAATAATGAAGTTTTCTTGTGAACGAATTGATTCTAAACTATTAAACATACTGAGATCGCGTTTAAGTCTTTTACTAGTAAGAGATTGTCGCGATGAATCGCTCACGTCGCGAGTTAATAACAACTTAGATATTTTACCATGCTTTTAACTCTTATTGCCAACAATAAGTGGCATTGTCACAATAATTAATAATAATAATAATCTCGCAGGACAATTCACACAGCGCCATCTTGTCCTAAGTTAAGCTATCTAAAGCTTGTGTTCCGGGTACTAGATAACTGATACAAGTACATAGATATTTTTTTTTGTAAATACATACATATTATACATAGAAAACACCCAGACCGATACAAACAATCATACTCATGAATACAAATGCGTGTGCCGTGCGAGGAATCGAACCCGCGACCATCGGACGTAGTGCGGTGTGCCAGATCGCTAGACCACCGAGGTCGTCGATAATTAATAAATACTACCATACTAAAATGGTTCTACAAATCGTGCTATACATAAACGATTGATTATGTCAATATGTTGGAAAGACTGTTATACATTTTTAATTGTTTTGTGGTAAATTTTTTTGTTTATCGTCATACAAAAAATGGCTATATATATAATCGTTATATATTTTTTATCGTCTAGTTTCAGTCTTAGGGTATAAAATAAGTATTTCGTACGACTTCTATGAGATATGGGAGTTGAATTGGGAATTGCTGTTATATTTATACAGGCCGTTGTGCATGTTATAGACAATCGCTTTTAATTCAACAAATAGCACACGGCTAGTGTAATGAGTTTTAAATATACCAATTTTTTTTTATATAATTATTACTGTACAAACATTTAAAATTATCAATGACCAATTTAAGCTGTCACATAAATTTTACTTAACATTGTTATCATAAATAAACACTTCAATCCTCGACATTTAAACTACTTCCGTAACCCTAACATACACTTATACCTAGATTTAATTTAGATAAAAAATTAAGTAACATTTGACAGTGTAATACATTAACTAAAAAGTGCCATAAATGCTGCTGACTCATAATATTTAATGGGCGGGCGTAGATAACACCTCGAAGGAGTCACGCGAACTATTTCACCCCACAAGGTATCCTTGTGAACGCTATCAATCCCTGACATTTCGCTCACTTCCGTAACCCTTAAAGCCTTCGCCCCACCACCGGCGCGCGCGCACCGACCGCTCCGAATTCTAGCGTTCACTCCCGCGCACGCGCGCTGAGCTTACGCGCGTCGTCAGTGTATCATGCTTCGGTGGTGAAGTGTCTGTGCTGTGTTGCAAAGACCGTGTTCTGTGCTCCAACATGAGGTCTATTAGCGCTGCGGTGCTGCTCGCACTTGCGGCTATTACAGGTAATGTCATGGGATTTTCAGGATTAAACGATATGGTGCGATAGTAAATAAGGTGTTGCATATAAGCAGTTGAAACTTTAATTAAGTAACTTATGTTAATAAATAGGTAATTTAGAGTGAAAAGATGTAATTGGTATATAGATTTATTTACACATATTTTTATGGCAAAAAAGTTTGTTTCCAAATGAGCTATAAAAAAATCTATTGAAATTATATGTAAATAAACGCAAATACATTATTTTGATTGTACTCTTCAATTAAACAAATATTTTAAATATTTTTATATTAAAATAGATAATTCAATATATATTTCTATCATATAATTGCTATATTGAACGTTTAATAGGCTAATTAAAATTTTTGACAGGTATGTGTTAATATTTTTTACGTAATTGGATTGACAACTACATAATAACACGGCTTATTTCGTTACCTCATAGTCAAATATCATTGTTGAAATCATCATCATGATATCAGTCATTTAAAGTTCACCGTTGCATACAAATCTCTTTAAATAAATCAATTAAATAACTCACTTATAACATAGTATACATCGTATAAATATTACACACTATTTTACATTTATTATTATTTATAAGATTTCACAACCAGGCACATATTTGTTTTTGTTTGTAAACTTGACTTTTGAATTATAATTTTCAATGACGAATATATATAATTAAAAATTAAAATAAATCATAACATACAAGGTTTCTTAAATATTTGTGAACTATATATTATTTAATGATATATGTGTATTTAAAGAGCATTAATGGAAAAATTAAATACTTTCGCATTATTCATTAAAAGGCTTATGCCTCATTTGGTATTTAAATCAAGCCTCCTTCCTTTAACTTTCAATTTCACTAGGCCCATGCTATAAGTAAAAAATGCATATACGGATTGTCAACAGTATTATACATAATTAGTATAACATGACAAGTTGAAATTAAGAATTAGCATTACTTTAATTATTATTTCACTACAAAAATTTGACACAATTTTCACTAAGTAATAATGTAATTCTTAACAAAGATAAATACTTTCCAATAACGTGCCAGTTTGGTTTAGTTATCCAGTTAGCTACTTTCGTTCTCGAAGCGGTGCGTGTTTCATTCTGCACATGCACGGGAAACACCAGCAAAAACCGAGGCCGCCCGACTGTTCTCTTGAGCAATAAACAGTCAAAAGTATTTAGAAAAAGCGTGTTAATAACAGTCAGACATAATATGGCATACTCGTGTTTATGTATTGAACTTTTCGTGTTTATGATTAATTGTAGCAACGCACGTATGGAATATAACAAATTGTACTGTTGGTATTTTATACGGTGAGTTTTTAGAATGTTGCGATACAAATATAGATTAAGTAATATTAATAATTTCATTCATTAAAAAATAACGGTAATTAATATACAACGTTGAACTGATTAGGTAATTATTCATTAGTGTAAATGTACTCCCACGTGGAGTAGACAGCGGTAATTAGAAGTTGTTTGTCATTGCGGTGAATGTGACACAAGATTTTCCTCATTTCGCATAATAAATCGGTATAATCGAATTTGGCAACAAGGAATTTTATATATCTTACATAATTTTGATATAATATGCTTTAAAACGACTTATTACCATTATTGTAGAGGTATACATTTTAGGTACTGACTTCTGTTTCTGTTAGTTGTTGCAATAGTAAATTACTATATATACTATAATAATGTCGCCAATTATTGTAATAACAAATCTATTAGAATTTAGTACTCCCCACAGACTCTTAAAATATGTTAATATGACTACAATACAGCAATCTAGTATAATTGATAGACTAGAGCGAAACCGCAGTAGTTAACTAGTTCCGAATTGTGAATGCGATTGCAACAGTATAATTAGAGGCGATTTTTGCAATCTCCGCTTTGTTTTTGCGTCGAACAGTGGACGCATGCGCGGCTGCCGCAACGTAAATCGCCCGTAACTGCCGCCACCACGCAGTGAAAATCAATAATTCATTTCCCTTTTTCTATTTTAATTTTCACAAATATTTAATTTTAGTAAATGCAAGCGATAGAAATTAAGCAACAATTTTATACACTTATGCTTATACAATTTTATTTGCTTCTACAGTAAGTTTAGATTACCATTTTTTTAATCTTATAAACGCAACCTAGATAGGTTCTCATAGGTACCCATAGCTTTGTAATTAGGTATTCAGGTACTTAGTATATTGAATGAAATTATTTATTTTGGAGCAATAATAGAAATGAGAGTCCCACCGAAACTGATTCTTACGGCTATAACCCAACCCGAATATCGAATTCCACCTCATTTTTGAACAAAACTGAAACTGAATTTCCATATAAAATGTAATGTTCTTGGAAAAATTAAAAGAAATATTATCCCGTCTTTAGCAGACGCGATAACTAATTACGAAACAACCTTTAAAATTGCGGTGATTCAGTCTTCGTAATCATTCATACATTCTTTGCACATTTCCAATATAGAAAGGATTCATGATTGGTAATAAAGAATGACAAAATAAATAAAAAATATAGGCAGAGACAAAAATGTCGAGAAATGCATAAGCCCTTGTTTTTTTAAAATTTACTAGTTGTAATTACATAGTACATACACAACATTAAGTAATTTAAGTTCTATTGACCTAAAATAATAAAATTCCGGGGACCTAAACGCTGGATGATGCTGAAATTAGACCGAAAAAAAAACTGTAACTGTAACATTATTAAAATAAATTATAACATTATACATTATTACCCAATTAGAAAAAATTAAACTTGTTTCAGTTTAATTAACAAAATGATTTTAGACAATACGTTCGTTTCAGTTCTTAAGGCTGAAAAATTACGATTACATACGTTGATATATTTTCTATAGGTCATTAGAATCACGAATTAAATTATATTTTAAGAGAATATGTAAAATAATCTTCTGTATATATAATATGATATAAGAATAGGTAAATAGATAGATGGGTACCTATTCCACTACACACACTTAATAAACTTAGGTAAGTTTGTAAATGCAAGGTAAATTTGTTGAGTAGACAAACTACACAATAGTTCATTCAAAATACCAATAAATCACGGCTATTGGTAGGTACATAGTTTTTATGGTAACATACAGAACATAAGAATGGATATTATTTGCATTGTATTATACAACAATCATGATTTACTTCATACGCTTTTATTACTTCATACACACATATTTGGAAGTATCTTTGTACAATGTTTCCGTAGCATGTAAATTAGTAGCCGTTACCCGCGGCTTATTTGCTTTTATTGACATAAATGTGATAGCTTATGTCCATCTTCGTGATACAATCTACATATTTTTATTTAATTAAGGTTTCTTCAGCGGGTAATTGTGAAAAGGTTATAATTTTCTTAAAAAAAAAAAACGTCTCCGTAAAATCAGAAATAATGGAATCAATCTGAAAACATTTGTAACTTTGTAATAAAAAAGTTTTTTCACATCGGTTTCTAAATGACAAAATTATGAAGTAATAAACATTAAAAAAAATATAGTTGAATTGAGAAGCTTCTTCTGTTTCTAGTGAGTTTCGTTAACTTTTATAATATTTATGTATATATTTAGTTTCATTTACTGACATATTGATTTAATGTTTTATTGAAAATCAATAAAACATTAAAAGTTTTAATTTATTCAGTTTCAATTTATTACGTTTTAATTATAATTTGTATAGTGCGTTGTACCGTAAAATGTTATTAACGATGTTATTGAAATAATACCAATAGAACAAATTAACACGAGCACAGACCATTGTCCGTGGATATAAATAGATATGAAAAAAAATAACTTTATATGATTAAATTTCAAGTTAGGTAATAACACTTAATGTATTTCCTACGGTCTTTTAATTTAGATATTCATAACAGGTAGACTTACAGTTTGTATATTGTTAATATATAATTTAAAGTTAGGTAATATTTACATTCGATATAAGTATTACTTATATTAGAAGTCAGTACTTAGTAAGTGTTCGGAAATCGTATTTCCGCAGTTATATATAATAATCTCGTAATGATGTCGACAGTTCTACTTATTTCTACCACAAGACAAGGTTACATGCAATGTATTCCAATATTACCTATATATATTGGAATATTACATTATAATTGAAAAAATAAAATTTTTATTAAATTTACTTACAACAGCAAACTAAAGTCCTGTTATAAATAGGTTATATAAGTATGATAAAATTTTTACGAACATAATTATTTAACATTATTATTTACAGTACATTTGTTAGACTATAACAAAACTACTACACTTGAAACTAGAACACAGATAATTATAATATTATAGTATATTTGAAACAGTATTATACATAAATTAGTCTGATATTTGCCTGCATAGATATAAAGTTTAATATAAAATTAATCTAATTAATTTATAATTTATTTACATATAACTTGAATAAGAAGTATATTTGGCAAGTATTCATTAGGTAATCCAGATGTCACACAAAAATATAGCGCTATATAAAAATGATATAGACAACCATTTTGCACTAAACATACAATAATCCTTTCTTTAATATAATAAGAAAATGTGAAGTGATATATTTCTCCTAGTTGTGAAACTATTTGGTAAGAGTTAGAAATATTATTAGCGGCGTGTGCGCATAACATGGTCATAATATTGCAATAATGCAAAAGATAAAATCTATGCATTCATTCACCTTGAGTGAATGTACAGTGCACTCCATACTCCATGTATCGCTTAAAATCTTGTCGAGCCATGATCGTATTAAAATATATTATATATTGTACTAGCTGTGTACACTTATTTGAACTATAGAAACACAATACTTCATAGTCAATCTTATAATCATCGTAGGAATTAATATAATATTTTACGGGAGGTGTTACATATGAATGTGAATGGTTATAAAGGCAGAGAAAGACAGAAAAAGAGATGCATGGACTGTGTGAAAGTATGTATATCATAATAAAGAGATGATTG